AGGAAAACTAAACCAATACACTCTTAAAGCCTGAGCTAATGTGGTTTATTTGGTTGCTGTAAAACATTTTGGGTCCAAAAATGCCTTTTATTTCAAAGCCGTGGAGTTAAATTGTAGCAATCAACGTGAAATCTTAATTTCTCTGATGTTACTAGAATTGCTTTGGAGTGCCTGGAGAAAAAGGAGGCAGCTGGGCTGTGGCAAGTGGAAAGTCTGCTTTCCCAATCTCCAAATTACAACCCAACGGCTTCAGATCCTTCCAGCCAAGAGAGGGGCCGGGGCTCAGCGCGCCAGCACGAGCGGCTCTATAAACAGCTCAACATCTGCTTCGTGTTTTAAGGCCACGTTGCAGTTCCTCAGTCTCAATGAAATCAAGCTTAAGAAGATTCCAGAAGTACACAACGAACCAGCCAGAAATTTTCAAGACATTTTTCATGTCCCATTTATCACCTATAGGATCCTTTGCGTTGCCGATTTGAAAAGAACACAATAAAAAGTACTTTTTGCTCTGGACCATGTGAGATGTCACCACTTGGTCTCCGGTCACCCCGGCTGTGTAGGTAGAACCCCGCTCGCTGCCTCAGGGACCCTGGCAGCAGCGGCTCCGTGATGCTGCTCACAAGGAGCCGCCGGACCCAAGGGCTCCTCATCCCGCCGGCCTCGGGTCTTTCTCTTCCCTCTGCCTCCTCCCGGTGGCCGCGGGCAGCACCGCACCCCGCCCGCTGACCGTGGCCGTACCTGATCCCAGAAGGAAATGAAAGAAAGGAAAACAAAGTTGTGGATCACCTACCTTTTCATCGAATCATAGAATGGTTTGGGTTGGAAGGGATCTTAAAGCTCATCCAGTCCCAACCCCCCTGCCAGCAGCAGGGACACCTTCCACTAGACCAGGTTGCTCAAAGCCTCATCCAACCTGGCCTTCAACACTTCCAGGGAGAGGGCATCCAAAACTTCTTTAGGCAACTTGTTCCAGTGTCTCACCACCCTCACAAGAAAGAGTTTCTTCCTAATGTCTCATCTAAACCCACCCTCTTCCAGTTTAAATCCGTTGCCCCTCATTCTATCACCCCCTGCCCTTGTGAAAAGTCCCTCCCCAGCTTTCCTGTAGCCCCTTCAGGTACTGGAAGGTCAGTAGGTCTCCCCAGAGCCTTCCCCAGGCTGAACAGCCCCAACTCTTTCAGCCTGTCCTCATAGGAGAGGTGCTCCAGCCCTCTGAGCATCTTCATGTCCTCCTCTGGACTCACCCCTGTAGTTCTTTATCCTCCTTATGTTGGGGGCCCCAGAACCCACGTTTTGCCCATGGTCAGCTACACTGTCAATTCAGTGGTGCAGGAGACCAGTTCTCAGTTATAAATATCTTAATGAGATCTACACCCCTGTACCAAACAGTAAGTTAAATGCTGCTGTTGCCTCTTTCAGTGGTGAAATTCCTGTATGTGGTAAGTCAGCTAAAAAACCCAACGCTTTTAGGAGATTTTGGCATCATATGCAAGAAGATACTTCAAACCTATAAATTTTGATAGGAGATCCACTACATTCCCCAGCAAAGTGGTACTACCACTTCAATGAAGAATGGTACCTGCTAGAAGGTATACAGGAAGATATGTGCATTTCAGCAAGTATAGCTCCAGACAGGGACTGCTTCTGCAGGTAAACGAGACACATTAATGAGTGGTAAAAACCACACAAATGCATTTCTATAAATAGATCTTGAGCAATATCCCAAATCATCAGTCATAACAATTTGAGATAATGAATTCCACACCAAATTACTCCACCTCAGTCCCATCATTTTTCTGTAAATTGTTACGTATTTGAGGAGGATGCTTTAGCTTATAATAATTGTACTGAAATTAGGCTTGGCGAGGGGTTACAGCAGCTGCAGAATCTCTTTGTTGGACTGAGATCCAAGTCTTCAGAAAGATGCTTTAATATGCTAAGGTTAATACTAGAGGGGTAAAGTTTAGAACAGATGGGCCACAAAGGCCAAATTCTGCTGGGTAAGTTAGTCTGGCAATGGCACACTAGTGCTGTCATAGCTGGTAATGGCAATTTGAAGGGTAGAAGTTAACAGCCAAAGCAAGCCAGGAATTGGCAGCCAGAGAAACAGAGACAGGAGTCCAAGGGCTGGCAGTGACATCTGAAGGGACAGCAGGGAGACATACACACTACATTTGGTTTAGGGACATGGACTCCACTTTCCAGCCTGATAATCAAGTGAACCAGAAAGGCAAGAACTAGATGAGTCTGTACCTTGAAATCTGGGGAGCAAACAATTTTAAAGTAATCCAATAAAATTGCCTTTGACATCTACTGCAGACAAGATACCTTTCTTGACAACATTTACGACAGTAGTCCCATTTGTGAGCAATAAAAAGTCAAAGTATTCCTGGTTAACAGATAGTAACTGCTCACTGAAAATAACTGGCCATGAGCTACATACAGATTAACATTATACCTCCCAGTTTAACAAGTGTAATGAGATGTAGCTGAGATTTCTTCCTTTTAAATTAGGAAGTGCTAATTTGTTGTCATTCTTAGGATAGAATCAACTTTGGTAAAACTTAGTTGAGAGACTGGAACTTCAATCAAAATAAGTTTTTAGGGCATTAAGTAGCACATAGCACCAACACAACACCTCACTAATCAAAATCCCTGCTTTGCTGTTCTACTCCCTTTGTGAAAACCAACAGCAGGCTGGGAGCTTGCACAGCGCCACAGCACAGTAAACCTGCTTATCAGGCTGCTCTCTAGGACACAGGGAACTCACACTCGTATCCTTGAACCACAGGGACCTGCTCCTTTTCTCCTGGAGTTTCACAGTTATTTCCTCAGAAAGGAAAGGAGGTAGTTTAACAAACTATTTCCCACGTAACTGGTTTCCACACTTTCTTGTGATGTCTTGCAAATTGGAACCTGTATAACTAGGGGGATATTTATGTTAAAAGGTTTATTGGAAGAAAAAGAGGAAACTTTTCCACTTAAGATTAATCAAAGTCAGTCACAAAAGTGCAAGAAAGTCAAGCAGTAACAGCATACACTCCCTAACTTTTGGAAAGGAAAACTTTTCAAAACACTTTGAAATGTGCACGTAAAGAGACACAAAAGACAAATGATAGAAAAAGGTACCCATTTATTCAAGGTATGACAAGGATATTTACAGTATTCATTTGCTCAGAAGAAGATCCATCCTTACAATTTTCAAAGCAGCAATTATAAATTACAATTAAAAGGGGAAATGTTCTAAGCATGTTTCTGTTAAAGATATTTTTATGACAGAAACACTTTAAGGCTAAGTCGTTTCGACCTGTGCTGCCACCCACATTTATCTTAGCAAAGACAACATTACCTTGAGGGATAAAGACTATGCTAAATTCAACGTACAACTTTGTTCCCTCAGATGCTTTTGACAACAGTTCACATCCTGACAAAAAATGACTTTTTGATTTAAAGCAATGAATTAAAGAGAAGTGAGATGAACTGCCTATATCCTGGAGGGCTAAAAGATCATATAGAGCAACACATAGGTCATTGCTGAATCCAAAACATCAGATTTCTTGGTGATGAAGCGCTTCAGCTTACCAAGCAATTTGCTTTCAGAGCTCCATAGCCACGTGGTGCAATCCACCTTTCCCATCACATTACTTTTCAAAAAGACAAGAACAAAAATCTTCAGGTAGCTGACTTCTAATGTAAATTATGAACGCTGTCTGCTTTAAACAGCACGTGATTCCCACAGTACAGACTAGTGCTCTACCAAAGCAAACACAATGAGTTTGCTAAACTGCTGTAGTGTTATTCCCTAGTAATTTTAAACACACAACAGATCTACAGGAGCAGTTAAAATTGGTTCATCTCTTGAGGTAGAAGCCACAAGTCGTATTTAGCCTCATCTGTAAACTATAACACACATCCCCATCAGGCAAACATAACCAATTTTTGTCATTTATAAAATAAACCCACTGATTTTGCAGATGCTAGTCATCGTAAATATAATGGTATTTTCACACTTAATCATTTTGTGCCTGTTTGAGAAGGAAACAAAGGTTGGGAATAGTAGATTGCTTTTATACACTTGTAATGAAAATAAAACATGTCATATATAAATAAGCTTCACAGCAACTTCCAACAGGGTTGGTATATGAGAATTCTTCTTAACTTGAAAGTTATTTTGGAAAACACCAATTTTAACTGCATAACAAATCAAACAAAAACCCCACAGTCACTAGAGCTTTAAGACTACATAGCTACTTGAAATACTAACATTTCATTTCAGTAATTTTTTTAGGATTACATTTAAGGGAGAAGAAAGTAAAAAACCAACAGAAACCCCCAAAGCCTGCACAAATACAATTTACTTAATTATCACGTTTTGTTAGGTGAGAATACTACATAACTAAATCTATTGGAAGTGCACAACATTTAACATTCCAATAGAAGCAGAAATGTGACCCTTGCATTAGTAGGGGACATTTATTCCTGGTTAGCTAAAAATCTCATAGCAAAGTTGTTGCTGCTGTGACTGATAGAAGTTTTAAGTTATTTGAAGATAACCCAAGCAACAAGTTACAAAACATACAGAGATTGGCACTTGATCTTTAGTTAGCCCCATATAGCTCAATTTTCTCCCCAGAGACTCACATACACAGAACTTTAAGTTTTCATTTTATTACTGAAAAAAAAAAAATAAAAGTAAATTTGTAGTTCCAGAGTAAACAAAGAAACCTTAGCTTCAAAATGTTTAAAAACAAAAGTTCAAATTTTGATAAGATACATTTCACAGGGTTTATGTCAGCACCTTAATAAAATGAATTTTTCTGTGAACTAAGCATGTTTCACAAAGTTTTCGTGTTAATGGTAAGGGGCTACATTCTCATCTGGATGCACGTGTAACATGACTCAAGGAGAACAAACTGGAAGGGGTGCAAGTCAGTTTCCAGAGTTCCCTGTTGAGCTCTATGTGTTCAGAACCAACATTTCAGACCGAAGTTATTAAAGATTGACCTTTTGCATATTCCGAAACGGAAGGCAAATACAATCCATTTACATTTGGCTTTGAAACATTAAGATAACAATGTTTTATTTCAGCCACGTATTTACAAAAATGTTTACAACACAACCGTGTAGGGTTTCCTTTCTTTTTTTTTTTAGTCATAATACACTTAAAGATGAATAGTCATCTTAACCTTCATGCAAAGACGCATCTCTTGTTACACAAGAAGTTTTCTGTTTGGTGGGGTTTGGTTTGGTTTTTTTTTGCACTCTGAAGATAGCAAGCAGAGGGCTGGATAAGTTTGGGTCACCCATAAAAATGTAGGCCTGTTTGCTCTACTGCACCTTCAAAATAAGGAGGTAAAGTACAGGCATCATTAATTCCACAAGGGTTCATTGCCTCTAGCATGTATTCCAAAACCAACAAAAATAGTCTTGAACAGTTGTAACATGGGTTATTCCATGACTTTCACCTCTTCAGTTTGCTTCCTGAACTCTGGAGTTACCTTTCTATAAGCGTACTTGCTGAGCTCCTTTTCTAATGTATATTGTTGACTATACATTTTAAATTAAACTGTTATGTAAAGAATGTAACAAGCTTTTCCTTTGTACACAACTTAAACTTTGTGTTGAGTATTCTTCAAAAGGATTTTATAAATAATACAATAAGTTTAGAATCAGTCTTCTGCCCTCTTGTCATTATACCATGTTGTTGCTTTCTCCAACTTTATCTACAAGCTGTAGAAAAGGAGACAAAAAGGTTTTAAGCTGCGTGACATTTACGTACAGTGAAGTTACTCTCAACTATTACTTGCTAATTGCACAGTTAGTATGCGACTGAAAATGAGTCAAGTAGTACTCACCGAGGTCTCATGATTTAAGTTGGTGAAAATTAAAAACCTTACATTGCAATTGCGTTTCTGCATGACATGTTTTTCTCATATAGACATTAACAGTGCAGCATGAAGATGCAACAGAATGAAAAAGGAAATAGAAGAATGCAGATAACACTGCTAGCTTAATGATTAAAACAAAACAATACAGTATCAGCCACACATGCATTAGTAGACCAAGTAAGATATTTCAACTGACCATTACTGTGGATTCTCTTCTGAGCCTACGTAGGCTTTGAATAAAACATTAACAATTATCTTTTTAAAACAAGATTTAACCCCATTATGATCAAATTAAATGTGACTGAGGGAGATCAATTGACAAACTAAACATTCAATTGATCATGAATTATGAGCCAGGACTTGGCCTAAGATTGGAACAGATGATCTTGAAGACTAATTTTTAAAAAACAGACTGTATACACCTATGTTATACCCACTATTAATTTTTTAGTAGTAGCTATTAAAACTGTTGCTTTCAAAACTAGGGTTAAAAATGCTTGTGTTAAAATACATACAGAAATTAGCACAGTAAAAGTAGTTGACTGAAACACCCTAGATTGCTGTCTTTCTGGCACCTCTTAATTGTCTTCAAATCCCTGGCTATTTGATTAAGAAAATGGAAAACTGCATTTGAAAAAAAATATAAATCTTAGTAAATAGCAAGACATGGTCTAGCACAGTGGACCTTAGTAAATATATCTGATGAATGATTATGCATAATGAGAGTTTCTGGATTCACCATACAAGCTGCAACTTAACATTGAAATAAACGGTTTGCTTTTCCAGGCCACCTTCCATAAATATATCCAAATCCTACACAAAGAACAGTGTCCTCCTCGTTGCACAGAGAGAGGAAGAGGCACAGAACAGTGGCACACTTTGCCTATCTGGTCACCTAGGGCCAACAGTGAAGCAGGAAGCAGAACCCCAGTGTTCTGAGTCACCATCCAGGGCTCTTTCCGCTTCACAAGGCATAAGTGGGAGCAGCTTCTGCAGAGGTGCCTTTTGTTCCTTTTACATCTAGAAGGCTCTCACTGGGAATGAAGGTAATCTGTACACTGCAAGAACTATACAGGAATACACTCAAAGTCACTGCTCTCAAGTTGTATTTGCTTTATTCCTGATGGATTTCTACTATTGCTAAAACAATGGAATATAAAAACATACAAGTTCAAACTTTGCACGAAGTACCGAACACTTACCGAGCTTATACCAGGTAAATTCAAGAGATATCCAAGAACTGGGACTCTTATAATAAAGCCAACCACCACAGGAAAGAACCCCCTTTAGGTAACATATCAGAAGATTGTATTAGTTTTTATAATGAAACTGTTCTCATATTGCTATAAAATGAAGAAATAGGAGTTATATTTTAAACTGAGATTACACAAAACCTTGTAGTTTATTAGCAGCACATTAATTTTACCAAATATATCAACATACATTCAGCAGAAAAAGGAGAAAACCAGGAAATAAACACCTCATTTTAAAATTGACTTAGTTTTCTTCATAGCTGGCAACCACAGTCATCTCCTCAAAAAAGCTAACTAAGGAAAGAATATCCACCTTAGTCAACAGAACTGATGCTCCCAACTGATTTCTCAAAATTACCATACATCTTTTGAGATAATTTCTTTTCACATTATAGGAAACACATTCTTGCAATCCCTGATGTAAAAACAACTAAAGTTAATTCTGAGTAATCCCCTTTGAAACCATATATGGTACTCTTTACATTAACCAAAGAAAAATAAACATGACAGAGGTGTTATTTGAAAATTTATGTCAAGTCATGGATTTGAATCATGAGCCAGGGGATGCTGCTTAGCATAGCTGATAGGGTGTAGCCCTCTCCAGTGTCCATTTCACCTCTGCAGCAGGAAAACAAATTTTCTATGGCAGCATCACAACTGTTTCCAGCCTAATGCAGCGATTCAGATGGTGGTGGCACTCTTGAGTTCTCTCTTGTTGAGCTATGCATTCCTCCCATAGAATAAGGATTAACTTCTAATGAGACCTCAGCCACAGTGAAACTGCAAAGTTTCCACAAGTCATCCTCCTCTTCACTACACTGGTAAGACCTGTTTCATAGAATCCTAGAATGGTTTGGGTTGGAAGGGGCCTTCAAGCTCATCCAGTTCCAACCCCCCTGCCATCAGCAGGGACACCTTCCACTAGACCAGGTTGCTCAAAGCCCCATCCAACCGGCCCTAAAACCCTCCCAGGGAGGACCAGCCACAGCTTCTCTGGGCAACCTGTTCCAGTGTCTGACCACCCTCACAGTGAAGAATTTCTTCCTAATATCTAATCTAAACCTCCCCTCTTTCAGCTTAAACCCATTTCCCCTTGTTCTGTCATTAACTGCCCTTATGAAAAGTCCTTCCCCAGCTTTCTTGTAGCCCCTTCAGGTACTGGGAGGCCGCTATAAGATCTCCCCAGAGCCTTCTCTTCTCCAGGCTGAACAGCCCCAACTCTCTCAGCCTGCCTTCATAGGAGAGGTGCTCCATCCCTCAGATCATCCTGGTGGCCTCCTCTGGACTTGTTCCAGCTGCTCCAGGTCTCCCTTGTGATGGGGGCTCCAGAACTGGACACAGTGCTCCAGGTGGGGCCTTACGAGAGCGGAGCAGAGGGGCAGAATCCCCTCCCTCGACCTGCTGGACACACTTCTCTCGATGCAGCCCAGGATACGGTTATTGGCCTCTGGGCTGCAAGCGCACATTGTCTGCTCGTGTTCAGCTTCTCAGTTTGCTGGATAATATCAATATCGGCAAGTTTTTCCTGGAGATTTTTGTTTTCTGAAGACCAGATCCTTTCACTGGTTCAGTAAATTGTGATGCAGGGCACACAAACCACTTATAACAGATTAAAACATTTGGTGTAGCCAAGAACAAAATTGGTGTAACCAAGAACAAGGAATAGTCAAGTGTTAGGCAGGATAATACTGTTAGCCAGAACTTTGGATGCCTGTAATCTGGCCAAAGTTGCAAAAGCAGCAGAGTACACAACAAGAGATACTGTTCTGTAACAGCCTTCTCCAGTGAGTGCAGGTGGGCACGTGAGAAGTATGGCAAAAGATTAAACCTCTGATGGGAAACTTGTGGCTGCATGTTAAATAAGGCAAGAAGTGGAAGTCATTCTAGGCTTACAGCAGAGTAAAACAGTAATTGCGTCTCTCTCACTTCAGTCAGATGCATCTTTAAAAACCAAAACAAAACACTTTGTAATCCTGTCATTTGTTTAAGTGTTCTTGCTCATCAGTACCTAACTATTGCTTTGTGGACAACAGGGGCTCTGCTACAGGGTGTATGGAAGATGACTGTGTAAAAGTAGTCTAGATATGCAAGAAAACAACCTACAGGTAAAGATTCTAGAGGGATCTGAACACCTAGTAGAACTGGTTTAGTGGTCTAAAAGTCAAGAGACTGACAAAAGCACAATACAGTGTTTTACATTTGTACTATCTCAGTCTGAGCTGAAATAATGCTACTAGAACTGCTAAATTGCTCTTGCTAAATATAAAAGGTTTTCCATACAAAAGTCCTGGTAATCCACAGGACTAAAGCCATCAGGATACACAGAAATGCCAGTTCTCACAACATGCTGACCTAACAAATCCAAAGGTGCCTAAGTTGACCTGGTATTCCTTGGGCAAGAAATGTACGTACTTCAAGACCAATGATAACCAGGGAAGTTTTCTGTTATGCAACCAAATAGCAGGGGGATCTTGAAGAATCATACAAAATGATGCTGGAGGAAAGGCTCCATTTTTAACTTCTTCAAAAAGGAGTAAGTTGCCAAAAACACGATAATGGTTGAAATGAACAAGACTAAAGCAAAACAAAGAGCTTTGAAGAAGTAACTAGCTAACACTGTAGCAAGGAATTTAGATTCTAAGAACTATTAAGCACTATAAAAGATGGTCTAAAGAGGTTTTAAATTAAAACAGATCAGATAAACATCCACACCTGGAATTACCTATGCCTTGTTGACACTCTCCTGGCTAAGGGATAGTCCTAGTAACCTGGGGATAACTACCAACCTTCTGGAATCCCTTCAACATTATCTGACACTGCAAGCCTCTGGCTAGAACCAAGAGATAATCCATAACCATACCTGCTTAGACATAGTCACTTAGAATGATTTTGAGATTTTTTTAAAAGGAGGTGTTTTTGGTTGGAAACACGCTCTACTTGCTTTGTACTGGCTGATCAAACCCCAGCGCTCCGTGCGAGCAGTGAAAATGTATTCAGTAAAATACTGTGATTTTCAAAACACTTGCAGCAATAGAGTTCAGAGTAATATGGAGTAGAACAATAAGAAACTTATATTAAAAGCCACGTTAAGATGTTTTTTTCTAAATTATTTAAACTTTTAATCTAAACTAAATACAAGATTAACACAAACTTTTACTAAGGAGGAAAAAAGAACTCCACAAGAACAATGGTTTGATTTTGATTAACAGAAACTGTTTAGCTAGCAGTTGGACATTTCAAAAATATTTTGGGGGCCTGTTGTTAGATTAATAAGCATTAATGGAAGAGTCTTCATCAGAACATAAGTCCAAGAACAACTAAAAGCCTCCCTTCTTACTTACTAGCATATTGTGTACTTTCTTCTATACAGAAGTCTGGAACTTCAACCATGGAAATAAAGATAAAATACGGATACACAGGTTGTACCAAGTCAAATTCTTTCACCATTACAATTGTGTTTATGAAGAAGTTAAATGGCACATTGTAAAAGCTGTAACGTATCGAGATTGCTGTTCAAAAACAAGAACTCTTGTATTTCCTTCCCTCAGTCCAGATAATGCTAACCAAACCAGCAGTTCTGACTATACTAGGGCACAAGTGTAATGGAACATGACACAAAACCATCTTTTCACTGTGCTGCTTTCATAGTAATGAAATGGTCAGGTTACAAACCTCGGATGTTTGTAAACAAGTATTTTGACCTGTTTGTTAAAGAAAAGAAACTCCCCACCAAAAAAAAGAAAAAAAGTATCCAAGTTGCCTTTTTCATGAGGAAATATTTAAACTTTGCACTGCTAATGATTTGAACTTTCAGATATTTTGAAACTTTACAATTCTTTGATTAGACATAAACAACATTACCAAAGTTAGTTTGGTGTATGCCTCACAAATGTTAGCAGATTTGAGTCTTGGAAAAATACTTACCAATTTTCCACCTCTTGCAAATATGAATCAACAACTTTCTATAAAATCTATTAAAAGCAAACATGTAAAGGATGCTGCTGCTTTGTCAGCTGCAATGCAGCAACACTGAATGAGTAACATTTATTCCTAGATACACAGATATTTTGAAAGGTATTTTGAAAGAAGTCTTACCTGAATAATAGGAAGAACCCATAAATTTCAAGGATCATTCCTACTGAAGGCCAACCAATAAGAACTATGAGCACACCACCCAGGAAAAAGCCTGTTGCTTTCATTTTGTGTTTTTGAAAGAAGAATCTAAACGTTCTTTCTAAACCGATAACAAAAGTAAAACCCAGCCACAAATAAAACCTGGAAAAGACAAAAAATAACCAAAGAAAGAAAATAGCTAATTATATTCCTAAGTTTAGGATGTAAACATATATATATA